CAACGTTTTGATATGAACGATCAAGACAACCAATTTTGGCAGCCCACTCCATATCCGTTTTAATGCCAAGTACAGCCAGAAAAAGCTTCTGGCCACTAGAAGTGACAACTCCTTCACGGCATGCTGCTGCACAGTCCAACATGACCTCCTCAACCATTCGGCGAAGCAAACCAGGCATGTTCTTGTGCCTTTTTGATGGATAGGCAAAGCACAGGAAATGGTGAAGGTACGAGTTCAGTCTTGAATTGACCCTTTGGGCGTCGGAGTTTCCCAAACATCCACCACCGAAGCATTCTGAGGTCGCACACTGGCAATGGAGCAATGACGACTTGGATGTCTCAAGGCCAAGTACTGGCTGAAATGAGAAGACTTCGATCGGCTCTTTCTTTTGAGTCCTACCTCCATCCCCATGAAAGGTGATAGGAATCGTTTTGGATAATCTCTCCAAATCATGCTCGAAGACCGCATGCTGAGGATGTTGCTTCCTGTAAGACTGCCAAAACTCCAGGAGAAGTTCTGGTGACTTCTCCAAGCTGCAACCGCCGAGCAAAACCCATTGGTAATCCGCTAGTAGGGTTTTCACCATGTCAGTGACTTTCAGAAAGGGCACTCTACTTGTATTCCCTCCTTCCTCATGAACTATCCAGGAGGTAGGAACTTTGAGCTTCAGGTGAAATTTCTTGACCAACAACTTGTACTGCCGCGAGGCATTCTTAAAGTTCCTGCCCCGTGTTCCCAGCGATCTCTTTGCAAAGCCAGGCCCAAACTCTTCGGCCATCGCGTTGCTCTTCTCAGCAACAATTTTTGCAGGAGCCTGCAGGGGAACAAGTCGAGCCACGCAGGGCCATGCATGCATGGTGTTGATTGGGCAGCTAGACACGCAGGCACAAAATATGTTCAAACAAAAATAAGTCGAGCAACACCATCAGCCACACATTGAACTACATGTCGGAGTACTGGCCCAGCTTCTGATGGGCCTAGCGAACAATATGGTGTGTGTGTGTGGGGGGGAAGATGCAAACACACAGCCTGCAAGAACCTTTGCAGCTCAAGTTTGAGGACCATGCTATGTTGACATGACTCACCCAGATTTGGTGGACACTTTCTTTCCCTGGCAAACGAAAGTATTGAACTAGAGGCACTAATTACGGATCTTGACCATCACATCAGCTCCTAAAAAAGCTCGTGATGGATTGAGGCACTTAAACTGCCTCAAAACCCAATCCCAAGAGCAAGGTTCTACTTTTCAGAACACCTGCAAAAATGCCAGGAACGCCAAGCTTTGCTCTAATGCTGTTTCTTTACTGTAGGCGTGACTGGTTCAGCGGTCTTCGATTTGGTCTTTGACCGCATATGGTTCAGCATGGGCCTGGGAAGACAGTGAAGAAACCCAAATAGAAAGAACTGGCTGAGTGTGTCTTTTTTCCCTTTTCCTGTGGATGCATCACTGATGGGACAAACTGATGTCACAGCTCATCAATAGGGCTTGGGCTGTGCACGGCTCATCAATCCCAATGCATCTGAAGCCCTTAGGTGGTCCGCGGTAGGGTGACGGAGTGGAAGTTTTCCGTTTCAATGACAGTCATCAAGTTTAAGATCAAACAACATGCTTGTGTTGGAGAGTTTTTAGCTAAATCGACAGAAGGCCATACGCTGATGTGACCTTACTTTACTCTTTGTCAATTTTGATAAAAGTTCATTTCCCAGTACTATAGGCTAGGCTGAAGCAAAAGAAATAAACTATACATACAGGCCATGGCACTTTTGCTTGGCAGTTCCAAATTCCTTCTTCAACGATGTTTGCTGCCTCAATCCGCTAAGCGTAGGGAATGCATGAATGCAACAACCCACCAATGGCATTCAAGTTATGTGCAAACAAAATACGCATTAGTAAAACCAGAGAGAACACCCTCGGAATTCAAGGTGGCAATAGACTCCTGAACCGAGTCCAACTCCTTGGCGCAGGATTGTGCCTTCTTCACCAACCTCGGTCGGAAGGCAAGCCGGGCATGGGATGCCATAGAGTGACCCTTGAAGATGGAGCATTTTGCATTCATGTCTAGTGGTGCCCAAGTACGGTACATGTACTATATGAAGCAATCACATCTTCCAAGTTCCGCTAAGCTACTGGTCAGAGATGTCAAGACTTGCGCAATGGGTTCGCAACTGTTCAGCTAGGTCATACATCTTGGCAGACCACTTACCCAAACAAGTTAAGACTTTGATGCAGTAGGTAGAAGGAAGCGCGTCATCATCCATGTCAGGGAAGGTGATCTTCTTGAGCATTTTGCAAGCAGCGTCTTTTGCATCCACTGCGGCATTCTCCGTTTTCTGTTCTGCACAGAGATCTCAATAGTACATAAAACAAACCACACTCAACAAGACGATGTACAATGCTGTTGAACCAAACTTACTTATGATAACTATGACGACACCACATGCCTTCAGACACATGGACCTCAGCCAAATGAAAGTCGCCCACTTCAACGGGCGCATCAAAGTCTATTGATTCCACATCGGAATCCTCTTCCTCCAAGACTTCTCGCTTCCGCTTCCTGACTGAGAGGAAGCGTTGACTTTCCCTGGGAATTACAGAAAACACATGTTGCATAATACCCTGCTGACAGTAGACTTGTTTGAGGCTCCCCTTGGTGGAAAAGGAAGCGTGCATGAACGAATACCATCTCACAAGGTGCAACCTCTAGCCACACATGGACTACCTCTAGTGCAACCTCTAGTTCTCAGGAGTCTTTCCAGCTCTGATAGTTTCAGTGATTGCACAAAAGACTATACCTGTGTCACCGTGTGGCATCCATCTTGGGTCCCTTTGTGATCACAAGAATGATATACATGTGTGTGGGCTTGGTTTTGGAAGGCTTTATACCACTAGACCACATACCCGTACTTTTCCGATGCAAGGTCGGCTTATATTGGAGACAGGGTTCAAGAGACGGCCGCTCATGTTCTTCTCCATCCAATAGAGCAACACGTTCTTCTCATACCTGTCTCGCCTGGCAGTCCGAACGACGGTTTTGGTCCTGAAGTTCTTCAGTTTTGCGATGGACATTGCAGCCAAGAGGCCGGATCCATCCCTTGTGATTTGCTGCTTCGGCATTGATGGCCTTGATCCGCTTCCTGGGCCAAGCTGCCAGCAAAATTGCACAGGTTGTCCCCTATTTAATATTTGTTTGATGCAGTACATGCGACATCTTCCACACACACACACACACGATCACATGCACCTATTTATCGAGAAAAACACAAGTCAAGCTTCTCTGGAATTCCATCGGCTTTCATATCTTCTTCTGAAACAAAGTCACCATCAACCCACAAGTCTTGTTCCGTGATACGTTGTTTAATTCTCTTCATTGCATTCTTGATGAACATATCCTGCAAAGACCAGGTTGAAGAGTGGGATGAAGTAGGCAAAGAGGGCTCCAATGTTGGAATGTTTTGGAATAACACAGAGTCCAGTGTTTTGCAAAAGCCTGAGACAGATCAATTTGACACCACAACTGTTCGGGCATAAGCTAAAGTTAATTTTCACACATGTTGTAGTCCTTGTTGTAGGCAGCCTTCTTGAACTCTTCCAACAGCTTCGCTTGATCACCGTTCTGCCACTGTTCTGCAAGCTCTTTGGGAACAAGACTTTTCCCGTTAGATCTGGGTTTGACCAACCGTTCAATTCGCTTTTTCAAAGCGCTATCAGAAACATGGCCAGTCAACACACTAGCAAAATCATCCCGGCTTGCAGGTTGGTGCCCAGGTCCAGCTCTTGCAACTGTAGGAGGTGGGGTGGGTGTCATCAATGTCCGCTCCGAAAACGACACACGCCGACGGATATCCGGGGTGGCAGGGCCAGCTGCTCCAGGAAGGCTCAGGGCCTAAGAGTCCAGCGGAAAAAGGTTCTGTTGTAAGAGCGGTGAGATCGAGAGCATTTAGCATCATGGCTTCAACACACAGTGTCACCATTCAACATACCATATGCGATGTATCAATGATATCATATATGCATGATAATATCAATCTAGTATTGTGTAGCGTCATATATGTATCCTTTCATATAGTGAACCTAGAGTATGATAACTGAGAAACATTGGTTCCGGTCCCAAACCTTTGGATTGCAACAGTTCAAGCAAGCGCAGTGGTTGTCAACAATCGAAGCAACTTGACCTAGTTTTTTCCGATTGAACTATTTGGCCACACTGTGCCCCATATTACTTGTATGGCCAGTTGTTCTCCGTTGTCCTCTTCCCAATTCCCGGCCCGCAACCAAGAAACCTGACCAACAGCCATGTCTGGTTGAGTATCGGAGTCATGTTGAGTTTCCGCATATTCATCCGCGGCCCTCGGAGCATCCTCCGCAACAGCACATCGGGCAGCAGAAAGCTGTTGCTGCGCATCCTGCGAGTACCAGCCAGGTGATGAACTGGACACTAAAGCAACATGTCAAAAGGATATTACAGCAAGTTTGTGTTGGAGGACGTCCTCCGAGAGAGATTGAGAAAGAACAAAGTGTGGTTTAGGTGCGCATGCGGGTACAAATAACATCAACCCTAACACGCAAGCTCTCCTCCAAACTAGCAAGGTGAGCCTCCAGCTCAGCCACGCTCCAATCCATGAGGTTTTGGGATCGGACCACATCTTCACCGTCCATCAGCGTCGATGAGCTAAAGGCACGAGATGGAAGCGAAACATACGACATTTTGGACCTGGAAACGATCTCCCGGGAAAATCTGCCGCCTTCCCAAGTTTTTCCGCCGCTTTCCCGGGAATTTCCGCCGCCGCCAAAAGCACAAACTCATGAACCTCATGACTTTCATGAGTCAACACATGTTCTTCATGAAACTCATAACTTTCATGAGTCACACATGTATTTCATGAGCACATGAGCTCATGCATTTGTTGAGCTCAAGAACCGATTCAACTCATGTATTGCATGAGGTGTCGTTCAACCTTTTGGCTCCATGAGCGCATACCCCATTCAAGTCTAGGGTTCATTACCCCAGTGGAAGGTGAGTTGGTAAGGCATCCTTCCAGGATGAAGAAGGGATACGAAGGCGTTTGCTTCCCCTAGCGTAAATGATCACATCATTCAAGTCGCAGCAATCGTCCCATAAGTCCACATAGGACGCCTGCTGGAAGAGCTCTAATACAGTGCGGTCTTCTGAAACCTCAGGGAGTCAGTTCAAAGCATTGCTTTTTGGTTTGGGGAAAGTAGGCAAGATGATACATTGAAGACAACAGATAATCCAAAGCACGGAAGGCAAGGCTTGGTATGGTTTGTCTGCAATCATTTGTGGCATCAGCTTCACCATATTTGTTGCAAATCTGTACGTGTAGCGCCTCAATACCACGCAGTCCCACTTGGGAGTCAGGGGCCCCAACATGAAAGGGTTCGAACAGCTCTTTAGAATGCAAACTCAAATAAATAAGTGCATGACTGTGTTCCCTTCAAGTGGTCATTCCCCTGCCATCGTTTACGCCCATCACGATCAACCCGAATCGTTGTAGTTGAAACACAACCCTCGCGTTCTGCAGGAGTGAGTGGGCCCAAATCAAGCTCTTGGAGGCGGGGTGTGGTCCCCCACATCCATGTGCGCTTCCAAGTCATACCACCATGCTTGCGCATCCAGAAGCTCACCCGGTAGGTCTTGGTTGGCACGCATGCATGGGTATACTAGCCTTATAGGAAAACACACAAATTTGTCTTTCACAGGCTGAGCAACAAAGATGTTGTGTGTTGCCAGAAGACGCACAAACCAAATATACCTGTCATGTAGTGCAATGAGGGAGTTGCTTGGGTTCTCCAGGAGGATGGTCCCACCAGCTGCAATGGTAAGAACCATGAGGATGATTGACCTGACATGTCACCACACCGCGTGATGCTACTAAAGTATATGCAAATGTGTGTCTTACACACCCAAACATGACTTGCAGCCCAAACACCGTGATACCAGCTTGTTACTTTTTCGCACTGAAGCCACCTGTTCATTCCCCAGCGGCACCAAAATATCTCGCCAACCTGTTCCCCTGTTGACAGGCACCCACGATGAACAACAAGTAGCAAATAGAGAGATCACCTCATTGAACCTGGACTGCCAAATCAATTTGATACCAAGGACCAGTCCGGCGTTTGAGTTTAGGTCCATGCTCCGGCGCTTTCCAACCCTGGGACGGCTGTACTCAAGGTCATAGGCCACAGCAGACAGCCCAACAAGTTCAGCCATTTGGGCCACTCTGCCAACACCTGAAAAGAATTCAATCATCCCATAGCCATGGTTGATGTCTCCTTCATCGGGGATCCAGCTTACGAGTAGGACCAACAGAATGATGACCTGGGCCAATTTGCTATCTAGCTCAAACACAACAACTTTTGAGTCTTTGAGTCAATTAATAATTAATATATTTGCATTGCATACAGGCCACTTTTGGGACCCCAAGAGCAAAAAGACGCTTGAAGAAGATACCCAGCTCAGCGGGTCCCATGGCAGCCGCCCTAAAGCCCAACAAACTAGGTTTCGAGCTTGAAAAGATCCTCTTGTAATGAATCTGTATCTCAGGCAATTCCAACGCTGCTGGGTCACTCTAGTGTTTGTTCCTCTCACCACATTGCAAAAGAAGTTGGTTTCGATTCATGCACGTGCACGGAAGACGCCTGGGAGATCAGCAGGGCTTGCCCCCAGCCCCAGCTTCGCCAGGCCAATTTGACCTCTACGAAGGCCATACATGACCTGGCCGCTTCAAGCAGGAGTGGGAAGGGGCACCTGGAATTCCCTAAGAGAGCAGGGAGCGGTTGGGCATGCGGGCACTCCTTTTCACAGACCCCAAGTTCCCAAGTAGCTGACTCACGAGTGGACGCACTCGTGTTGCATGGCCATGCATTCATTACATGGTATTGCTTGCGCCGCATTTGGCACACTAAGCCCCAAAAAGACCAGCCAGAGGTTTAAAAAAACACATACACATGGAGGGTGACGCTTGTGACAGTATGTTCATAAGACTTCAACCAAAGGTATCCAGCTGGATATCAATCCTATTTCCGGGCAGCCCGGGACTTCACCTCAGACTTCTTTACAGTGTCAATGAAGTCTGAAACACAGGATTCTGCTAGGCCCTTGTATGCAGAGTCATCATCAGGGCACTCCGAGTTGAACTTCTTCACGCACTCAGTCCACCAAAGCTCCTGCAGGAGAAAAATATGAAACAAAAGAATGTGAACATGGAAAGGTGTTCAAACCCAGGGACTCAAGGCCAAACAGACATTGACATGACTTTGGCTTTGGTAGCGGAGCCTCTCCTGCCACTGGTAAACCGTGTGCCCAAGATCACGGATTTGGCTTTCCAGCTTCTCACTGAACACGTCCCTGATGGCCTCCCAACGGGTCTTGGCAGGACGTGTTGAGGGGCACAGTCGTCTCCCAAAGGTGCTGGAAGTCTTCTGACGTTTCTTCGGTTGCTCCACCTCTGCGGCATCCTCCTCTGCGGCATTCTCCGGAAGCGGTTCCGCCTTGGCCGCTTCCTCCTCCTCAGCCTTTTTCTTTGCTTGTCCTTTGGCCTTGGCTTTTGCCTTAGCCTTTGGAGTGGGCTGCCGCTTTGGCGCAGCCTGAGCCTTGGCCTTGGCCTTTGCCTTCTTCTTTGAAGAAGCTGACGGCTCACCTTCAGGAGCCTCTTCAGCAACCTCTTCTTGATCTTCAAGATCAATCACCTCGTCTCCAGTCGCCTGCTTTCCACGACCACGGCCACGACCACGGTTTTTCCTTGGCGGTCTAGCTGCAAACTGGTCCAGACGTCTGGGGACAGGCACCTTCTCCTGTGCCAAGAGTTTGCGCCTCAGGGAAGCCACTGCCTCTTCCGCACTCATGTTCTGCTCCGTGACATGTTTTTGCATGACCTCTGCAACCTCATGCACCAGCTTTGTGAAGTGCACCTGTTGCTCTGGCTCCTGGTCCAGCAGACCCGCTATAGCTGCAAGAGGATTGTGTCCATGTTGGGTCGCAGCAGTCAAAGCGAGATCAGCAGCAACCTTCAATTCTGCCAATCGAGCTGCTTCCTCCAAAGCTGCTGCATCACCACCACAAGCCGCCGGAAGAGAAGGACCTTGCACTTTGCCCGTTTCAAGAGCCTTCTCCAAAGCATCACGAGCCAGAGCCTTCTCCTTCTCAGATTTCTCCAAAGCATCATGCACCAGAGCCTTCTCCTTCTCAGAGTTCTCCAAAGCATCACGAGCCAGAGCCTTCTCTTTCTCAGAGTTCTCTAGAGCATCACGCACCAGAGCCTTCTGCTTCTCAGAGTTCTCCAAAGCATCACGCACCAAAGCCTTCTCCTTCTCAGAGTTCTCCAAAGCATCACGAGCCAGAGCCTTCTCTTTCTCAGAGTTCTTCAGAGCATCACGTGCCAGAGCCTTCTCCTTCTCAGAAATCTCCAAAGCATTGCGAAGAGCCGCCTTCTCCTGTTCAGCTTGCAGATGACAATCATGAAGCGCTTTCTGGCTGGCCTCAAGGAGAAGTGTCTTCACCTCCACAGCCTGCTCAGTCTCACGCATGGTTTTTTCTTTCTTAGCAAGAAGAGCCTTTCCCCATTCAAGTTCAAGATGCATCCGTTCATTCTCATCAGTCGCGCTAAGGGCCCTTTCCTCAAGATCACGAAGAGCATCCGTTTCGCTCTCCTTCAGAGCCTTCTTTGGCTCAGCCTCACAAGCAGCACTCTCCTGAGCTTCTTGAGCGCCATCCTCCACAGCCTTCTCCTCAGCTCGTCCAAGAAGATTGCGGGAAGCAATAGCTGCATCAACAGGAGCTAGCAGGGCATTCTCCTTCTCATCTGAAGATTCAAGCTCCTTTTGCTGCAAGGGTTTCTGACCCTCAAGCCCTGCCTGACTTTCTTTGGAAAAATCAGGCTGAAACTCGGCTGCAAGCGCATCAGGCGGAGTGTCCAGTGACATCACATAATCCTGGTAGGGATCTTTGGCAGCACAGGTCAACTCAGCATCTCCAGGATTGTAGGGCAAGGTTGGCATGGAGTCAATGTTGGGAGGCAGTGCGCTCTGGAGAAGCCACTGATTTGAGTTTGCTCTTCTGCGCAATGAGTTCCCTCAGTCATGAGGATGCTTTCAAGAAATGCGCAGAGGAGAATTCAATTCATGAAAGAAAAACATAGAAAAACATTCCAAAGAAAACATAAACTCTTTGCTATCACGCATGCAAGAGGCTTCACTTGGCGGATCTTGTCAGCCACATCCCCAGGATTTGCAAAGCAAGAGCGCGGAGACACAGGTGTCACAGGAGGCTCATCAGACTTAGGAGCTGGCTTGGGAGGATCATCGAGATTTTCTTCTAGATCCAGCACCAAAGTGATGATTCCTTGCTCCGCTTGTTTGAGGGACTCCTTCTCAAGCAAGCCTAGATCATCGCCATCATCATCAACAATCTCAAGCACAGGAACCGGTTCCTGAGGGCTCTTCCTTCGCTCAGCGCGTTCCTCATGAAGCCTCCGAAGCTCTTCACCCCAGCACTTGTTGATGATCTCAAAGTACTCTGCAACACCAGGTGCCTGGAACTTCCAGGCTTTGTGCCAACAATTGCCTACCCATGCCTACAAACCAAAAGCACAAAATAAACACTTTGTGCCCAGAGCAAGCCAAAGGCACACGACGTGATGGGCTGTGGTCCTTGTGGTGGCGGCTATCCAGACCAGTGCGGCGCATCGAGTATGAGAAGAGCTTCTTCAGAGTCCATGCATCCTGGTGGATCTTCACCGGGTTCAACTTGTAGCCCAGCATGCTTCTCAAACGCCAGATCTGGCAAAAGGGTGTGCAATGCATTTGCAGCAGTAACAAGACAGTGCTGCAGATGTGGGTATGGGATTAAACAATAAAACAATTTGTAAACCACCACCCAGGCCTGAGCTTTCAAGAAGTCAATCTGAGGCGCCTTGACCACATTGTTTTTGGAGCAGTGGTGTTGAGCAACCACTGACATCACACCAATGTTCAGGCCAATGCACTCAAGAGTGTAGACATTCTCAAGCTCTTTGGAAGGCCAGCGGATGAGGGCACCCTCCTCCCTTAGAACCGTCCTCACGGCCTTGCAGTTCTCAAGTTCCAGGGCCAAGGAAAAGTCTTCTACTTTCTGTGCTTTTGTTTTTGGTGGCTCTGGTGTCGCCTTCTCAGCTCCCCCCTCCACTTTTACATCTGGCTTGAGAGGCTCACGCTTGACCAAAGCCATCGTGAGAGCTAGTGGCTAGCACTGGAGAGAGGTTTGCACAAACACCTTGTCACAACTGTTGTTCTTTTGAGCCACGAAAAAGGTCAGATTTAGCCTTGCGTCGATTTCAAAAACCAGCTGCATGATGCTGCACGTGCATATGTTATCACATATTGCATTGCCACATGATAGCAAATGAACTCGCCACCCATTGTTGTAAACAAGCCCGGCCCACCGCCAGGAGATGAAGATCTCCAAGAGAACATGGATCCAGTGGATCATTCGCTCTGCTGTGATTCAAAAAAGAGTTGGGCTCAATCATGGGATGGTGGAGGTGTCAAAACATGTGTTTCATGTATGATTGACACGGCTTCACTGCTTCTCTTGAGCAGCTAGATGTGAAAAAACATGAAAACAACAAATCTGCCGCTAAATGGAAAAACCGCCGCCAATTCCAAGAACCATTTTTTCCAGTAGAGGCAAAAAAATGCAACCCTAGGAAGATGCAGGTATATATATTTATTTATGTAACTTATGTATATTTATGTTAGACCCATTTCAAATCCCTCTAGAGTGACCACTGCCAGAGTGACCCGTTCCTCCGTTTCTGAGTGTGTGAAGTGAATTATGTTTCTGGGCTTTGTCGGATTCCAAGCAGCGTGTTCGATGATCTCGGTATATCCCATTATCAGTACATCATGATGGAAACTACACACCCTTCACCAAAAATAGTGATATCTTGAACATCTTTAATGGGATACACCCTACGAGGCTCTTCAATTCAAGGGACGACCTGGCGACTGGTCAAGGGGTTTGTTCCTCATACGGGTCTTCAGACCACCAGTTTACACTTCGAATAGATCCACAGTACCCTGGCTTCGCCAGCTGCTTGTCGCATAGAATCACCACCAAAGGCCTAAAGTCCTAGATTCAAAGCGCTCTTCCCAAAAGCATCCAAAAGCCCTTTTGTCCAGCTTGACCTGTTTTTTTGGGGGATGGCCCCAAAGTTGCACACCTCCTGCCAATTCGATCAAACATCTACCCAGAATCCACTCCTGGATCTCTCTCCCTCCCTCTCTGGTCCGAAACCACCGCCACCACCCCCAGGAAACCACGCATTGGCCCGTGGCGTGGCTTCGGTTGTCCTCCGTCCCTCCTTCCGGATCCCCAGATCGTACGTCACCGCCGACGCACGGGACGTCCGTTGTGACTCGCGAGGTGACAGGCGGCGTGACACGTGACAGGTGTCGGTGTGCAAAACATGAATTTCATGCCGGGAAGGGGAAGAAATCAGAACAAAGCTCCAGTAAAGCCCTCCCAAAAAGCCTCAAATTTGGGAAGGTGCATGGTTTGGTACACACCCCGCGAATCCATGTCATGGAGCTCTTTTTTCATGCATTACAGTAACTCCCTTTTCAACCACCCCAATGTAGTTTTCAATACGGCATAGCATGGCCGTCACATGGATCCACAATGTCCTTCTGCGCCCACCGGTACCATCTGGTACCTGCGATGTCTTGCCGCTTCGTCATCTCCGCCTCGTTCAACATGGCCACTGCGCTCAGGTTCGACAATCCATGGGACTGGTAATATTCACATTTTGTAGATATACATTAACCCATCAGTTGGGGGTGGTTGAACAGGCGTCTGTTCGTATGTCGTTATCATTGATGCTCGTCCCATGCGCTGTGCCTGGCATGGATAGCACTGTTTTTGTCGGCTCCGCAGTTTGCAGAGCGCTCATCGAAGCACGTCCCAGTCCCAGCAGGGCATCCTCGTCGTCCAGGTGTGAATCAGGGAGCCGACGACTGCACACCAACCAGCAAAGGTTGAAGAACCCTTTAGACTATCCTAGCTCGGTATCCATGTAGGGTCCTAGTTCAGGTCACTGTCCACCTCTGTTGGAAAATATGGATTTCACACCGGAATCATCGACACGATGAACATCAATGCACTGGGGCTACACGAAGTCATGCGCAATTTCTTTGGCGATCAGTGAATTGCGGAGTTGGGAGGAAGACAATGTAGCTTAAGAGTTCTTGTGCCTGACACCTTCGCAGTGAACTGGCCCTGAAACTCCCTCTTCACAAGGGTCTGGACACGAACCCAAACCCTTCCCATTGGTTCGGGTCCGGATTCTGAGAACAAGTGCATTATCATTGTTGACCAAAGATACTAAAGGTGTTTGTTTGAGAGGCAGTTAATTTCTGCTCATGCAACCTCACTTGCGTTGAAAAATAGGCTTGAGAGAGTGTCCCGCGAAGCTGCACTTGAGACTGAAAGGAACCAATTTCTGCGGCCAAAAGAGGTTTCGGGGATCAATGCAGGCATATGTACCAGTCCCACGGGGGTGTCTGGGACAGGAACCGGTTTCTCACTTTGTGTAGACGACCCACAAGAGCTACCCTGACCCACCGCTGGACATTTTCGCCCACTGGGTGACTGGGTGGTCCAAAGAAGTGGATTTCGTGTCCCAGCATCCATCTGAACCGGTGTGGTTCGCTTCGACCGCGTGAACACCTACGAGCATTGCCTTACCATGGGAGGTGGGGTGTTCTTGACAAGTGCTAGTAAAGACTTCTGATTCCCGATGCCGGAGGTCCGGGGAAAATACAGCTGAACCGAACTTGCCATGTGTTGGATATTGAGTGGGGCGTCACCCATCTTTCCGAAAAGAAGTTGACCTGCAGGTGATCCTCCAACCACTTCCTGCGTAGGTAAAGGGTTGAAAGAACACCAAAGGGTTTCACATGGTTTCACAGTGGATTCTGCACCACTTCAACCTAGAACTCCTGGCTGTGGTGGATTTGCGTTCTTGTTTAGGGAACTAGGAAAAAGTACGAATTGGTACCAAAAGGTGATTCCCTAAGCAAAAACAGGCTGCACACTAGGAGATTCTAACATGTTTGGAATCCCGCGAGCTAGCATAACTAGCAGGCCAAAGGAATCAAAGAGTGACCTCCTATCAGAAAACAGGACGCTGACGTGGAACCAGGCGTGGACGTTTGCTCCACGAAAAGAACAAACACGCACTCAAAGTATCCCTCCACTATCTCCTCCCTCAAAAAACAAAAAGATACGTGGATTTGTTGAAATTCTTCTCCTCAGCGGTGGGAGGGTATCTGGTCAGAACATGGAACTTTGGTGTGGCGAACATTCCCTCTTACAGCTTCCCCCTGCTTTGCTCTCTTCGCTGCTTACTCCACAAAAGTCCATAAGTCACGACATGCCACAATGAGGACAGGAAGTACTATACCCTCCATGTGCTGGTTGCCATTTGTTGCGAAAGCTCGAGAAACAGAAGTGAGTTCTTTGAACTTCTCGTCGATGACTGAACCACTGGGGGACTGCCGATGCACGATCGGTGCTTCCTCAGAGGACAAGCACGTCCCCACGTCCGGTGGAACATGCCGGGGAAGTTCGTGAAAGCCACGCGTCACGCGGGAGACGCACAATGTGACGCGGCGTGAGACTGCGACAAAGGCCATCAGTGGAGGGAGCGAACGTTTTCAGAGTGTTAAAACACAGAAAACTGATGGACGGAAAATGGTCTTTTGTCGATTTTTTTTCGTTTTGTTTGGTGGGGAATGGAGCTCAGGGCGTATGGCATGGCTCATGGGAGAACAAGCCTCCGATTTCGATTTCGCATGGAAGCGACGCCCAAGGAGCGGTATTTGAAGCGAAGTTGTAGACTAGTAATAAGGACCCCTAGGGCTTCAAGTGCCTTCTAAGAAGGTGTTTGGGTTGGGTTCAGAGGGTCCAAATACCTTCTGAGGAGGTACGACTGGAGCCCTAGGGGATGTTGTATTTTAAAACGAACATTGTTTTTGCGTGTTTTTTTAGGTCCATATATCGACATGGGCCAAGACATCTGTCAGGACCGGGTTGTGACTTTGACTACACCTAACAACCGATGTTTGAGTCACTAGAAATTCCCAAACAATTTATATAATCTGTGACATTGACCAATCAGTTGGGGTGGTTGAAGTTGGGGTCAATGTAGTTAAATATGTCAGTCCCATGCAGTGTCTGGGATTTATCGGATTGATCAGTGCTGGGCTACCTGACTTGAACGAAAAAGGCCTAACAGGCCTATGGGCTATCTGAGAAAAACATGCTGCGTACTGAATCCAATCCTATGGTCGATGGAAGGAAAAGCCTACACACAACTTAAACAGAATTTGTCCGAGGTGTCCTATATCCTTCAACGTATGTCATAGCCATGGCATCATGACGATGGAGTTCAAACAAGTTGGCTAGGCTTTGTAGAAGCTTCCAGGAGAGGATATATTTAAAGATATTTAAAGTATATTATCACGCAAGTATATATATATATATACCAGGGCCCCCAAAACCATCAAAATCCTGGATTTCCCTAGCAACAATCATGGCTTTTGTATGTGATAACCTTTATGTTTAATGGTTTTGAGTTTTGAGGGCATACCCACTGGATCCCAGTTACCACTATAGTAAGGAACCAGGGGCCCGTTCCGTTCAGTCCATGGTTATGATACTGGATCCACTGAGCTGAGAAACTGCGACCACTCGACTGACCAGCGGGATTTTCTGCATTCAATTTACAACGACCTACGACCAGAGTGTCGATTTCAATCCACCAGTGGAGATGAAAAAAACATGTTCAAAAAAACACGCCCATTGGCACCAGGGCACTAGAACGGAACCCAACGATCCAACGGTACAGTGCCTCGAGGGGGTGATGTGTTCGTCACCAGGTAAAGGCTGAGTCCGGATACCCGAGCTGACTCTGGATGCCGGGCATCTGGTGCATAATAACCAGGATAAATTAGCAACATTCACAACACTATAACATACTATAACAATCCAGGAGAGTTAGCCCTGGACGAAACCATCCAGCATAGTTCATCACCTTTTCCATGTGTTCCATCGATCCTGGATGCCACCGGTGCAACATCCGTAGAAGCCAGAGCCGCTCTATGCCGCTCTGCTCTTCTTCGACGGTTCGCTCCTAAACAGAAACAAAAAAACAACTTGAACCGAAC